TCCCAGGGTGCTGGCACCTCGCACGCCCGTGCTGGCCGGGAAGAGGGCTGCAGTCCCGGCTGGAGCGCCGCGGGCAGCGCCAGCGCAGCGGGCAACGGCCCCAACAGCCCCAGCCACTCGATGCAAAGATGGGGGTTGTCCGTAAAACAAAAATTTATCCCCATACAGCAAAGACAGCAAGTGACCCCCTTCTTCGGGAGGTGTGCCACAAACTACGGAAGCCACTGGCACTGGCAGGGGGGGGTTTAATATTGCTCTGAAGGCACCAGCTCCTCCCTCCCCAAACATATGCTCTTCCTATGCAAATCCAGATATTTTCCAGGCAATGAAGACATCTACATAAAAGTCCAAATGCAAAGTTGTGCTACATACTGTGATTTCTACAGGGATATCATCTTTATTGGATGATAGTAAAAGAAAGGCTTGCATTTATCCAATTACTCTTCACCTCGAGGGTCCAACCTTCATTTGCCAGACTACGCACATTTAATACTTCACTGGGATCCCATTTTATTGTTTTGATTGTAGTGAAATTTATTACAAGAGGCTGGAAGGTATGCATGAAAAATTAATACCGCTACCAATAAGAAGAGAAATAGCAACATATTAATTTGCTGGATACTACAAATGAGCTCTCAAATTAAAATTTGATTCACAAACAGCTGAATACTTTAACAAGTTTCTTCGCCTACCTGATCTTCCTTTCAGAGGACTTTGATAGGGCCTGGAGAGTTCACTGAAAATATTCAGTTTAATAGATTATTCCTAGTCAACGGAATTGCTTTGGGGCAAGGGTCTTATCTAGATGTTCATTTGCAGAATTCTCCTCATCGCTGGTGCAGCATGAATGTCACGTAACTCAACAGATTTGGCATGAAATACGTGAGCTGGGGAAAATTCAGCTTAGCAGCTTCTCCTTCCCACACGCCAGAATGTATGTATGCAGACACAAATTTTATACACACATTTTAATGAATCAAGGCTTAAATGTTGCATTTGGAAATTACTACCTGGACAAAAAAATACACCTTTTTTCATCAGGGAAAAAAAGATTTTAAAATGCTGATTAGCTCTAATGAGAGTCACCTGTAGGTTTTCTATGAACACCGATTACTTTGTTACGGATATTTATTTTCATTTCAGTGACTGAGAGGAATCAAATCAAACAAAATAATCTGACCTCAAAACCATAAGAAGCGTGGTCACACAGAAGGACCACACCTATTTAACTCAACCAGTTTGCAAAACAAACTTAGCCATGTGAATAAGGAAAACTGATACCAAGACGATGAGCAACCCAGTCCTCTTTGCTTTCCTTCTTCTACCCATTTGTTTCGCCCACACGGATGCGCCTTGGTCTACACTCAGGACCTCCAAACACATGGCAGAGGTCAAGGATTGCTCAAAGCACGGCTTCTCCACTAACCTTTCTCGCCTCGCTTCTTTTTAGTCCTGTCGATGTGGTCCTTGAGCTGGATGCGGACCTGCCTTTCGTTGGGCTGGTCTCGGATGAAAGGGTGCTTCATCAGCTGCTCCGTGGTTGGTCTCTGGCTGTGGTTCTTCACTAGGCAGCTCTCAATGAAGGACTGAAACTTTTTAGACCTGGCCCAGGACACAAAAGGAAGGTATTGAAACAACAGGTAACTGAATCAACTCTCGTATTAGAAAGTGAGAAGGCTGTGGGTATTTGAGATCATTTGGCTGCTACACAGGTCTTGCTCAGATGCAGCCTTCCAGGCAGGTTCATGTGACTTCTCTGTTGATGCTTAGCACAGTCTCAAAGCAGCACTATCACATATGCCCTGCCTCACTTTATCCTCTCCTACTCTTCCCATGCACGCTCCTATCTATGCCTTCCTGGTGCAATGAGGAGAAACCACCATTCTGCTGAGTCTGGAGAAAGCTGGTAACCAGCAGTATGACCGGGGAATCACCAAAGCCCGATGTCATCCATGGCAACCAAGAAAATGCAAGGAAGTGTTCCTCCTCCCTTCCCTTTGCCCTGTGAAAGTGCAGGTAGAAATGACAGACAACACATACAGGTACAAATGCAATTCCGTAATGGATTCTTTCCGTGTTTTCTGGCCCTGGGCAGTGTTTCAAGAGAAGTACCTTTCTGAAGATGAGGGGGACAAGCTAGGTTGATGGCTTTTTTAGATATAACCACCTAACATTACATGGCTTATTAAAGATCAGCCAACCTGTGGGTGATGCTCGCTGCCTGCAGCCCTTCCCTGCTCTCCCAGAGTGAGCCCCACCAGGTCCTGGGGGCCACCGTGTCCCAGTCCCCCCGATCATGGACCCAGGCAAATGGGATGTGCTCTTTGGCCAGCACAGCTTGGGCAGAGGTGGGAATGCGGCTCACAGCCTGCCTTCCTGCAAACAGTTAAATTCAATCTCAGCTAAAACAATTTCAGCCACATCTTTAAGAAACACATTTCTTTTAGTCTCAAGTGTTGCATATCAAAAGTTTTCCTGGAACTAATTTCGCCACATTATAAACCCACGAGAACAGAGATTTACAAGAAAGAAAGATGTCGACAGGCCACTATACTGTATTTTGCTTTAGCAAATAGGAAAATGAGTGTAAATTAATGTCAGAAGCCAACAGATACTACAGAATTGCATTGAGAAGTAAAACAATAAGCTTTCAGGGATTTTACTTTTAAGCTGTCAAACTAAAAGTGATTTATCTTTTAAGTCTAATCCATACAAATTGAGATGCAAAAATAAAATACGCTGTTGGATCAAATTAAATCCTCCCTCCAGCTTTATTAACGAGCACATCTTCCTTTCCCACCTTGCCTCAAGAAACCCCATGTCTCACTGTATTCCAGAAGGGACAATCCATGTGATGCTACAAAAAAATCTGCTTCTAAAATATGATTATCCCCTGTTGGTGTGAAGGTGGAGAGACTCCAGTCCTGGATGAGCGGTGCAGAGCACCCACAAATACGGTCAAAGTGAAGGGGCTCCTGAAGTTATCCTCCAGTAAGCAATGAGTTTGGGGATGGGGGTCCCAGTGCCCTGCGATGCCCTAAGACACCTTTGCATCCTCGGGCTGACTAAGCAGCTATGGAATGGGACTGGCTCAGGTTTCTGGTTTTCCCTCAGATCTTTCTCTCCAAAAGAGCAAGCCTGTTCAGGGGAACAGTTTGGCCCTCACCGGGGCTGGAGCAGAAGACAAGGGCTTTCTCCTTGGCTCTGATGCAGGGCGACACCATCATGCGTCTCATCCCACCTTCATGAACCACACACTCCCCCAGCTCCTGGGGTTTGTAAAGCTTAAATCAATGTTTGCAAAGTCTTTGCAGCTGCTTGGATGAAAAGTGGTATCACAGTGCAAATACCACCTCATTGACAAAGAGGTTTTGTCATCTCTTACAAGGCTAGGGAGTGTTTATGGGGACGACATCACTAAAATTCAAGTTCATTTTACATGTGAAATGCAGGAAGAATAAAATAAAGCTTCGTTGCTGCCTGGTTTTAATTGGGAAAGAAAATGATACCAAAGACTCTTTGATTTCATAGGAACACAGCACTATTTTAAAAGCGAGTTCAAGGATGTAGTAAGCAACAAAAGTATTCTCCTCTCTGGGATTTTTGATTTGGGGCAGCTCCCATGCCTGCTTTCCCTCTTGGCCTTCCCCGATTCACCTTCAAAGGTGCTGGAGTCACTTTGCTATTTCTTTCACGTAAGGAAAGAGATGATCTGCCCATGTTGTGTACTTTCACGTCTTGCTGCACACAGAAGCAGGGGTGAACTCAAGGTTCAAGTTGAACCTTTCTTCATTTTTCATTTTCTCTTGTGATCTGTGCTTGTGAAAACCAGCCCAGTGGCTGCCAGAGAGCCACTGTGAACTGCTGGTCAAACATCTCCAGTCTTCTTGGGTCGGGCTTACAGAGCTCCAGGACCCATCCTGGCCAGGCCCAAAACCTCCAGCTGAGAAATGAGCCAAGGATAGTTTGCGCAGTAACCCACTGAAAATGCTGAAAAAAATTGCCCTTAAGGAATTGGGGGAGTTGTCCTGGCTTGGAGCTTTGCCTGGATCCTTTGGAGTTTCCCATTGCAATGAAAGCTTGGAAGATGGATATAGGTTTGAGCTGCTTGGGGTACACATGTCCTAGCTCTGCAGGAGACCAGGGATCCCTGCTTGCTCATGGAGGGGTAGCAGAGGCCAGGTGAGCATCACACTCCCCTGGAGGGGTTCGAAGCTGGAGTTTCATTAAGCTCCGACTTCCAAAGCGAGCCCTCTCTCAAAGCACCTGGGAACCCATCCCCTGGACAGATCAGCTGACCCCAGGCAGATAACACTACAGTCCACCACCACGAGACGTGCAAGCCTGAGACAGCCACCGGCCATGCGAGGGGAAGGTGGTGCCAAGCAACACGCCGGCTTGCACAAAGCACATCCCAGTGTCTCAGAGCAGGGGAGTAAATAGAACTTCCACCCCAGCTCCGTTTTTACCTTGAGGAGATGGGGAAATGTTCTGCTCAAAACCTGCTTTTGTCAGCTCATCTCTGCCTGGAAGCTGAGGACGCCTTTGCTGAGTAAACAGCACTTTTGTATGAAAAATAAACTCTGAAGTCTTACAATCCATTTTGTGCTGTAGCAGTGAGGATAATGAAGCAGGAGACTGGTGATCTCGCAGAAAACAAGCATATAAACTACTTTCTCAGCTGACTAATGGTATGCTCAGAGGGCTGTGCAAGGAGAGGGAGCATCTTTGACATCTGCTGCGGAGCCAGCTGGGTTTGGTACTGGAGCAGCTGATGATAGGCTTGACAAAATTAAGATGCCTCCTGCCAAAGCCTGGGTGAATCTTTAGGGACTGGTCGTAAAACCCCAACACCATGCATCTGATGCAGGGGACTCCAAGGCCCTCACTCCTCCCCCACCAACAAAATACCTGCTGCTGTGGCACCAAGTGTTTTCAATACCTACCAATTCCTCTGCTTTTTTTTTTTTTTGTGTGTCTTCAACAAGATAATAAGCACAATTTCAAGGAATAAGGCAAAACGTCCCCCTGTGAGCTCAGCCTATCTGGGAGCAAGGGGCAGTGCCGTCTCTCTAACATCTGGCAGATCTTTTCTGACCAAACCACTGCTAAAAAGCAAACAGCATGAACCGGAGATGAGTGTTTTTAAGGACTCCAGCTCCATCAGTACAGAACATACAGTAACAAAACAACATCTGCTGGGCTTCGGGAATATTTTTCCTACGGGTTTTTATTGGCACGCCCTCCTTTTTTTTTTTTTTTCAAAACACTGATGTATTTTTTCCTGCAAAATTTTAAAATAAAGCCCAAACTAAGTATAAATCTCCGCATTCCTGGGCCTTCAAGATAAACTGTCCTTTTTTTGGCCTGGATACATGTTTCCACTTGAAAACGGAACCTGACTGGAAAGAAACAGGAGCCAAGCAAAGTGTCATCTGGCTTCAGGCTACATGAACTGCCTTGGAAAAGCCGACTCCAGGCTGCAAAATTGCAGTATTACTGAGAGTTCCCCTCTCTACCTATCTAGGAAGGCCTCCATCCCACTGTGAGTGACTCTTTCAGACCAAACTGCATCTCCACAGGAGATCAAGACCCCAGCCTGCGCTCACCAGAGTGATGCTGGAGACTGTCACCGACCCCTGAAGCTATAGAAATATGAACACCAAGTCCCCAGAGTGCCTGGGCTGCAGGAACAAGTTGCTCCAGAAATGTTTTTACAGTCGTTGAAGATCAAGAAAGAGACTCACCACTTCTTTGATTTCAACCTCGGGGCTGGGTTGCGGGGGATGAGGAAGAGGGCTCTCATGGGATGCATATCACAGAGAGCTGCAATTTGCAAGAAGAGGCGTTAAACACGGCACAGCGTCTCGCAGACCCCCCAGGTTTCCTAAGGAGAGGCTACACCCAACCGGGGGGACCCAAGTTTCCTCTGAAGCTACGACACCCGCATAGCAGGAGGATTTGCAGCGACAGCCTCCTACAGCCCGCCCCGGCCCGGCGGCAGCCTGGGGCTCAGGTGAGAGCTGACGTCCCCAGCCAAGCAGCACGCGTGTCCCCAGCGCCGCCGGGCTCAGCACCCAGCCAGCACCCAGGCCCAGGGCATGGTACAGCTGCACCACGTGCCACAACCTTGCCACATCTACTTGCATTTGCCAGCGTGCACGGAGGGTCCCAGGGTAACGCCGAAAACCCACGGCAGTATGACCCCTGCAGATGCACCAGCTGAAGCCAGCATGCTGCTACCTGTGTCACCACGGAGGTCGGTGAAACACCAGTGCTGAGGAGCAGTGTTTCACCTGCTTCCAGTCCTCCACCCCTTCTTCATCTGGAGGAAACTGAGTCCCAAAGTGCCCAGCATGTTACAACCCAGAGTTCATTAAAGCAGAGCAATGCATCTACTTACGGGGAGCGCCTTCTGCCATCTCGATGGCTGTTATCCCCAAAGACCACAAGTCACTCTGTAAAAGAAAGCAGAGGGACATACGTGACACAGGGAAGCGTCATCACAGCGGCGTGCACCAAGCAAGGGGGAAGCGTGGTTCTCCCCAGCCCAGGGGCCTCAACCCTGTCAGCCAGGTCTCCGTGTCCTCTGCAAGCCCCTGGATCCACACTTTAGGAGCTTGTCTCATCCTCCTGCCTTGTGTTGGGGCTTTAGAAGAGGCTCCCAAGGCCACTGTTTATCCCAAGATTTATTTCAAAACCTTCAAGGCATTTTTGGTGTGGGACATGGCCACCTCGCTGGGGCTCTGCTCCCAGAAGCCGTGGTGAGGATGCTGCGTTGGGGAGATGCTGATGACCCGAAGGTCCCCTGGTGGGGGAATCTTAACAAGCCCTGTGCACTAATGAACAAACTTCTAGCCCCCAGACGAGCTGGTGACCAACTAGTCCCTGGCTTCACGGCTGGGGTAAGCAGCAAACCTGGCTGCTGGCCCCCTGCGTAAAGCTGGGTGATGCATCCATGGACCTGATAACAGCTCCACAGAAAACAGGCTGCCTGGAACAGATTAAAAACATGAAGTGAGATACCTCTTGAGAGAACTCCGGAGGCTCTTGTATCATGGACTGCTCATTAAATGGAAGCCTGAAAAGTGGCATTTCACCAGCGGAAGAAGAAATGGGCACTTTTATTTACGCTGCTTCCAAGCCCTGCTCAGCCCACATGGTTGGCTGAGTCTCCTGAATGATCAGAGCACAGAGAATGCGCCTACTTGGAAAACCCTTTGATTTCATACCTGTGTCACTCTTCCTTCCATTCTCTCCTTTGTAAACAGGGACACTTACAAGCTCAGCTCCCTGCCAGAGAGCAGTGGTGAGCTCCCCTCCAGTGCCTCCTCCTCACCCCACCGTCACTAGATGCACCTCTAGACCTGGTAACGAGCCCCAGAGGACGGCTCGGCTCTCCCAGACAGCAGCGGGGGCAGAGACTGCTGCCCGGTGATGGAAAACGAGCACCCTTCCCTAAGGGCACTGCCGCATCTCGTTTTTTCGGCAGAAGGTGGCTAGTTCATTATTCTGGATGCCATGTAAACGGCTGCTAATGATCCACAACCCAGCACCTGATGCAGCGGCAACAGGACCCAGGCTAATTTTGGTGCCTTCATGTCAAGCGCAGCCTCCGACGCATCTCCAGGAAGGTGGAGAGACCTGCCTGAGATGGGAGGGTGGCAACGGCAAGGGCAGAAGCTGCAGGTGTGCAGGGGACCAGAACAAGCCTGATGCGATGCAGCTGCAGCTGATGTTTGCTGGAAACCAGCTAAACTCTGGTTAGCACGTCAAAACCAGTGAATGTGGTAAATAGGTACATCTCAGGGTGGAAGGGATGGACTCTGCCTCCCACCCTTCCTCCTGCACCTCCAGCTCTCACGTCTTGCTCTCCCTTTGCCCTGCTCTCTGCCATGTTCTTGCAGTCCCACTGCAGTTTTCTCCTCTCCGGTTCACGAGCTGCCCTTTTCCAAACCGCCTCAAGCCTCTAAACCTGCGATTTAATGAGTAAACCCCAGAAAGGCAGTTTTTCACGGCACAGAGCCCCAAAAGCTCAGTCAGAGCTAGAGGGAGCCTCTAGGGACCACAAGCATCTTCTCACATACTCCATCCAGGAAAGACAACTGGGATTTTCAATTTCAAGGCCCTTTTTCTCATTTTTAACTCACGTTCTCCCCTAACAAATGCCATCCTTGCTACACATCTCTGTACCTGCTTTAAAATTCTCTCTCAAATCTTATTTCCAGCCGTTTTGCAGGACAGTCTCATCCATTCTTTTTTCTGATCAGCTGGGATTCCTGATGCATACTTAATTATTGCAGTCCTTCCACATGATTCAGCACACGACCCCTTCCCTTTGGGTTGCCGCTGATCTCTTTCCAAATTCCTAGTGTGTCTTTCCATATCAAGGTGCCCGCTATTATACGCAAGATGCCAAGTGATCTTAAAGCTGGAGTAATACAGAAAGGGATTATCACCTTTCTAAGTCTCCCAGAGAAAGCAGAAAACTCAGCATATAATGACCTGGAATTCGGGGGAGGGGGTTGTGGTTGATTTGGTTTTTGGGGTTTTTTTTTTCATTTTTGAGTCTGAAAAGCTTTTCAGTCCACCCAGCAAAAAGAGGCCGTGCTCATCTATTTGCCTTGTCTTGACTTGGGAAGGAAAGCAAGCTTCCTTCCCCCTCCCCGCCTTTGATTCTAAGCTTGTTGACAAGTTATCTCGAAAGAAAAAAGGAAGAGCAGCTAGGGGAAAAATCAACAAATAACCTCAACAATGTGGGGTTACTATTTGTTCTTTTTAAAAGTGTTTTATTTTTGTGAGGAGGTATTTACTGCCTCCTTCCATAGATTACAGAGGCATCTCTTTCTGGCTAAGAAAACAGTGAGATCAGAGGCTTTTTGTCTAACAGATTAAGCCTGTGAGGATTCCTTTTTTCACCCTATAAATCTCATCTTTTGTATTCACCATTTTAAGCCAGTCAGCTAAACCTGAGAGCATCTGATTTGCATGCCTTTAAAAAAAAAAAAAGTCATTTACATTTCCCCCTCCACACACTTCAAAGCAAAAGCATCAGGTGCAGGGATGCGATCCGGGGTGCGGACTAATGTCTGGTGGCTCCCACATCACCAGGAGCTCCGAAAACACCCCACAGTGAGCGTGTCGGCAGCGATCAGCCTTCTGTTTCACACGCCCAGCCAAGGGAGAACGGTCAATGCCAACTTCAGAGACGCAAGCGCCTGGCTCGTAACGAGCGTTTGATCCTCGGGGACAATAGAGGGATTCTGGTCCCGGCGCTTGTGCATCAGTCAATGGCATATTAAGCGCCCTAGTTATTCTGGAAAGAGGAAAAAACCTCAGGGATTTGTGAGGGTAGGAAGTAGCCTATGAAGATATCAGTCCTTTTTTTAAAAAAGAATTCAAAATAATAAAAAGCTGTGATTAATTAGAGCGTTGCACCGCCAGAGCCAGGCGGCTGTCAGCAGCAAAGCAGCGAGGGCAGCTAGCGCGGTCGCAGCCCTGCTACGGAGCGCAGCCATCAGCAGGGTTGAGGAAATGCCTGTTGTAATTGGTTAACCAAGGAGAATTAAGCAATTGCAGATTAAACTATTTCTACACGTCCTTATCGTTAACAGTTGATGTAACCCAGCGTCTGAACTCGCACTGGAGAGCTGCTCTCTGGAAAACCATCAGTTCAAAAGTTGACTGATGCGCTTAAATAGCTGCAATACCAGCGCATCGCTTGGTTACTTTAAAATCCTTCATCTCTCAAAAATTTCCCCGAGTGACAGGTGAGTGCACCCCACATGGTACCACGATGGTGGGCTGTTACGCTATTATATTGTAGCGTCCTACCGTTAGAAAGCAGCTACCTAGCTCCACACCAGAGGGTATCAAAGCCCTTTTTAAACATGACCTTGCAGAGCAATCTCTCAGCGCACACATAAACAGGGCTACAGCAAGCTTTATCTCTGCCTCAGCTTCTCCCCCAAAAGCCCATGTGTCAGTGTCTTCCTCTGCTCTCTGGACATGCCCAGCGGACCTGGAGAGGGTTTGGAGCTAGAAATTCAAGTTCTGGGCGCTTCAAAAAATCGAGGGACAAAAACCAAGGGTCATTTCTTCAGATGCGTGTCCAGAAACTTGCAGTAAGGCAGAAACAGGGTAAAATACATTAAGCACTCCTTGCTTTAAACATTGGACCGTGCTGTAGTTTGAATGGGCAGGTGGGTCTCAGAACCCTCCTGCAGACCGGTTGCATGGCACAGGGCGCTGTGCCACATTATAACCCAGCAGCAATGTTGTGCTGCCACTGATCCAAAAATAAACTTCAAATTGGCAACAGAGACATGTGAAAAGTAGGTCAGCCCCCCAAATGTCCGATTGTGGGGCAACTTTCAGATTTCCCTGCGAATACCAGCCTGTGGGCTGGAAGATGCGATCTTGCCCTTTCTAAACCTGACCTGACTTCTCTGCCGAGTAAACAGAGCAAATACAGCACATTTGACTGTAGTATTTAAACATGCAGCACCGAAAAGCAGACTAGCAGGTAGGAAGCTTCAGTCTGACACCTTTCTCAGCATGGGGAAAGACTTTTTCACAGTAAATTTGGATACGTGAACAGCACAGCGCAGCAAAGCTTCACGTTGGACCTGAACTGGCATCTCACAATCCAACAGCCAGAAAGCAGGAGACTACACTGCCTGTCAACGTATGTTGCAACGTAGCTGCAAGGATAAACTAAATTCCTGAGCGCTCAAGTTCACGGTAATGGGGCATAAAATCTGAGACCATACCAAGCACCTTCTTCGGACGTTTATGATCACAACTCTCCTTGCAAGCACCAGTAAGTGCCGCTCTAATTCCTTGCCTGCCTTATCTGTGAACGTGCTAGACTTCGCAACGATCACATCCGCAACGACGTATAGAAGAGTCGGAAGATGCTCGTTTAGGTACCTTGAAGTCGTATGTGGCATCGGGATTTTCATCGCAGGCAATGACCTCGGGGGCCATCCAGTAAGGCGTTCCAATGAAGGTGTTTCTCCTGCCCACCGTTCTGTCCAGCTGAGCGCTGACACCAAAATCCACTGTGGATCAGAGAGACAACAGGGCATTGTAAGGCTGGAGAAAACCTGAGCAACTCTTCTGTTTACTGCAAAACATCAAATTCATTCAGACCAACTTCTCTGCACAGTCAGGAGACAAGGATGGGGCCAGAGACATTCCTGTTTGATCTCTGCTAGGATCAACAGAGGTCAATCAAGGACAAACCTGATCATCTGATGTCCAGGTTTTGTAAGAAACCCTGTGCCTTTTCCTCTTTGCCAGGAGGCAATGAAAAGAAATCACAGCTCCTCACACTAATGAGAAACAGGGTTAGCAACATGAATAAGCGGCAGTCTTTGTTCTATGCTTTCTCATTTGAATTAAAGCCTGCCAAATACTAGTAGAAGCCTCATTTTTCTACCCAAATTCTTGCTGGAAATGGCAGAAATGCAAAAGACTTAAGGAACTAAGGGCCAAGGACAAAGGCCCACAGGGAAATGTCAAGCAGAGAGCTGCAAAATGAAGCAAAAACTGATGAAATCAAATCAACGAGAGAATACTCTGTGGTCCACTAAGTTCACTTTGCGCAACACAATGGCTGGAGATTTGCCCTGGAGAACTTCCCCTTGGAGGAGAATCTTCACCAGCGTAAAGCCAAATGAGCTGGTGGTGCCATCTGTTAAACTGGGGTTTTATTCTGCTGTAGAGAGACTGGGGAGACACGGGAAAACAAGGTTTCCACCTCACTTTACTAGTATAAGGGATCTTTCTTCACTAGCATAGATTAAAACACAGAAAGACAGTCTTAATAACATTGCTGCTGGACAGCTGAGGATATCAGCATATCATCTGTGCTGATCTGCTGCCTTCCTGATGATCTTCACGTGAATGCCTGGCCTTCTCCAGGGTGTCTAACACCACATCGGAAATTCAGCACAGTTCTTGCAAATTAAGCTCTCTCCAACAGGTTGGCTTGGAAAACAAATCTGAATTATGTGACACTAAACTGACTGGACTATGATACTGTAGGACACTATATGGAGGTGTGAGGGAACAGCCTTCTATAGTGGCTGATGATGCACACAGGCCAATTTTCAACCTGGGGTGTGAAAAAATGGTCTTGATTGCTTAACCTGTATCTGATAGCAAGGCTGCCCAAACTACCTGTTGGAGCAGAAACACCACTGCAAGTACACCTTTGCACGCAGAACTTGGCCATCAACCACCAGCAGTTTATTGCACGGCACTTGGTCAACACCCAAGGTCGTGTTATTGAGGCTGGCACGAGAGAAAACACAGGGTAGGTCTTAGTATCCATCCCCTTTCTCCAAGACACGTACAAGTCAGTTTTGCTGCTTCTCTCCAGCCAGCTCACTTGCAGTTTCCAAGAGCTCTAACCCACCCTTACCTAGTTTAACTTCTGCGTTTTCTGTCAGCAATACATTCTGTCCCTTGATGTCTCGATGAATTACTTTGTGCTGGTGTAGATGACTCAAGCCCTAGAGAATTCAGAGAAAGGTTAGAGGAATCCAGGTTCAAAGCATGCTATTTTCAGACATTCCTCCTCAACCAATTATCCTCCAGAAATGAAAGATTCACAGTTGGAGTTAAGCATTTGAGAACGCTTTTGTTTATCATGTGTTCAAAACAGTGTCCTATGTCACACGCTGGGAGGACATGCCCGGCAAGCGAGACGCCCACCGATGGGCTGTATGTGCCGCAGCGGGTGCTCTCCACAGCAAGGGGGAACCATCAATTCTATAGGGATTAAAACCAACCTCTCAGTTTCTGCAGGAATCCATATTAACCCAAATTCCTCCGCAGCTCTAGACATATTTTCCCCCATGTGCTCCCTTGTCTTAGGGAGCCATTTCTGTGGCAGAAATAATAGAATGGTTTTGTCTCCTTTCTGTTATTTCCATCATCCAGAAACCGAAAAAACAATTCTCTTGCTATACTGGTCCAGTAAACGGGACTTCAATACACTGATAAGCTTGTATTAAAAAAGCTACCATGCAAATACAAATACTGTAACTTGCACATATCCCTAATGGAGATATAGCTCAAACTAAAAGCCTGTCTCAAAGGCTAAAGGTAAACTAGCTTTTCTGTTGTGCTTTTTTATTAGCACATGAATTTCTTTTTGCAATCTACATTTTTATTTCATTCACTTATTATTTCAGTTTCAAAGTAACATCCACCTATATTGCCAGCTTAGTAAACATATGGATTACTTAAAAAATGAATTTTGCATTAGGTTTACATTACACATTAAACATTCATATTTGAGGAAGAAAATAATTTCTGCTATGACTACTGGTAGTTATTAGTCATCTTACACTCATTACCTTGGGACAACACTGTGGAACAGATTATATCTGTGCGGGAGCCCTTTTTTAGCCACATTATACCTTCTTAGAGATACCTTGTGCACTGGAGGCAAAGCAAAAACTTCACTGAATTTCAAAAACTCCTTTAACAGCACGGGATTAAGCCCTGTGTTAGAATTACAACTGGTCCTCAACATCTGAACCACCTTCTGCAGCACAAAAGGTGGAAGCCTTTCATCACCCGAAACCCTACGGAGGTCACCAACCACCAACCACCAACCAACCACCCCAATGAGCAGCCAAAACGCAAGCGATGACACGTGATGGTGGCCCTGGGACATGAGTCAGTGGCTGGATTCTGACTCACTGCCAGGGACTATTTTAAGTAGGCTCACAGAGCTCATACATTTAAAATAAGCCCATGTAACTGTGGTTTCCTGGCGCTGAAAGCAGTGTCCGTACAACAACTCATCAGCTACAGCGCCTGTGTCTTCTGCATATCATGTTGGTGCCATTCAGGGTCAACAGAGAAGTGCTGTGTCACCTCTGGACGCCAGCGGCAGCCTCAGCAGCAGTGTCAGACACTTCCTTTCAGAGCAGTCATTTTGCCTCATTTTCTTTCATAGAATCATTTAGGTTGGAAAAGACCTTTAAGATCATCAAGTCCAACCGTTAAGCTAACACTGCCAAGGCCACCACTAAACCATGTCCCTAAGCACCACATCTACACGTCTTTTAAATCCCTCCAGGGATGGTGACTCTGCCACTTCCCTGGGCAGCCTGTTCCAATGCTTGGTAACCCTTACGGTGAAGAAATTTTTCCTAATATCCAATCTAAGCCTCCCCCGGTGCAACTTGAGGCCATTTCCTCTCATCGTATCATTTGAGCGGCTCTTCCACAGGTTTCCTTCACATGCCCAATATTTCTGTTTTCTCCTGAACAAAAAAAACCTCGGTTCACAGAGCGATAGATTTTAATGTCGGGCAATCATTACGATCACATCCTCTGACCTGAGTTGTGCAAAATGCAAGCAAGCATTTGCTGAAGCGGCCATCTTCCAGTACCGGAAACTCTGGCACGGCCCATTTTAGCTCATTTCAGTCAAACATTTATCTTGTGGGTATAAAAGCTGCAGCATCCTCATTAAAACCAGAGACATGTGGATTTAATAAAACATGGGGTGCTTTTTAATCATAAAGATTCTTTCCACCGACTTTATTAGTCCTCACCTTTCTGTTAATTGAAAATGTAAGTCTAATGTAAATAAATCTCTGCCCTGTTAATACTAAAGGAAATTATATTTTTGTTGAAGGAAAAAGAGGGTTAAAAGTCAGGGAACTAACAGAGCTAAAGGGCATTAAGTAGGGCTTATTTATTATGCATCATACAAGCACATGAATCATTCATGCCTACCGCACCGAAGAGGCTCCAGCCCACGGCAGCGCCGTAGCCATGAAGCCTGCAGAGCCAAAAGCTTTCTGTGTCCCCCGAGCACCGACTGCGATACTCCAACAGCTCCTGACGTCTAGCTCCCTTTGGACACGTACCCGTAAAATCTCTCTGCAGATGTAGGCGATCCACTCCTCCTTCAAGGTGTTCCCCTTTGTGTTCTTGATGAGGTCGGTGACGGAGCCCGCACCGCAGAACTCCATCACCAGCTGCCAAATGGAACAAAAATGCAATTATGGCAATGACACCGACAGCATTCCCCAGGCTGCCCAACTCCAGGGGAGGACCCCAACGCTGGCAACGTGGCTGTGAGGCCACCGCAGCGCTACGCAGAGCCACCGGGACATAATCTTGAACCTATCAGCTTTTAATCCATCTGGGTTTTGTTATAAAAATGAAACAACAAAAGGCTGGAAGGCTTGAAAGGCTTGTTACTCTCCAGAAGATGGGAACAAGGCTGGACACATCAGTCCGGTGCTGAAAATCAGCAGAGGAAATTGGAAACCTTGAAATCTCAGACCTCACCACTACTACTGTACCTCGTACTTATGATCAACCTTCAGCATCACGAGCAACCCAAGCAAAACTCTACCTCTTGCATATAAGTTTTTCAACTCTGAAAACGTGAAGGCAACAAGAGATGTTTGAAAGCTTCCTACAACATTAAAAACCAGGTATACTTTTCAATTTATTTTTTTTTTTTTACCAGGACGTCTTTGCTTTTGACCACTTTTTTGAGCAGGAAACCTTTCTCAAGGGCAAGCTTGCCCTGCAGCTGCAGGCTCTCCGGGAGAGAGCTGGTGTCCTGCTGCTCAGGCTGGCTCAGATGAGACTGGGCACCACCGCTTGTACCACTTCCAAAGTTTCACAATATCAAAGTGCAAGGATCTAACCTGGGCCTGAACTTAATCTTGTCATTGAGCAACTGTGAAATAAACCTTATAAAAATAGCACGGGACGCGAGTCTGCCTCCCAGGGACATCACGGATCCGCAGGGCCATAGAGGAGCCGTCAGCGTGCTCCAGAAAGCGAGCACAGCCCGCATATGCAACAAGCCTCCTCCAAGACCTGCAGAAGTGTTTCTCTCAGATGTGAAACCATGTTTTCCAATTATATCAGCTTGCTGCTAAAAGATACTCCTTTACAAGTTGTGCCTTGCCAGATTCTTCAGCGTGCTTGTTTAAAGTTTCTTATCACATGAAGCTTACACGGCACTTAAATGTTCTCTGAGCAAGCGGCATCACTTTATTAATGGGCCAAGAGGAGACGAGAAAAACAGCGGAAGGGTTACTTCTAACCAAATTGCTCAAACACAGCGATTTAAAAGACCATCATAAATAAACGATCGTAAAATCCAGACAGAGTACTGCTATAAACCATCAGGTTAAATAAAATACTTGAGCAGACTGTACCTTGGTTGGCTTTGCCCAGGCTCCTGTCTTTAGTTTTGATATTAAGTTTCTCTTCTCTTCCTAAACTGACAGCTGAAAAATTCTTTGTATATCCCTGTTGCATCAGGAAAACGGCTTCAAGGAAGAGATGTGCGACTGGCCCGAGGCTGTCCTGCGCAACGGCGAGGAACGCTGCTGCGGCGCTTGCCGCTCCTCCACCCCAGCAGGAGACCAGCGATCCAGCTGGGCCACTGGGCCACGGCCTAAGTCCTGGGCTACTCGTTGCTCACCGAACGGGGCGTAACGGAACAACCGGTTTCGAAGTCACGTTTCTCGTCCCTTTGGACAATTGACACGTGGAAGTGTCTGCACGTGTTTCTGATTAAAAGAACGTTTGGGATGCCACGGCAGCAAGCGCGGAAAGGAAAACCCTGGATAGCTGAGCCAGCCACAAACCCTTCCCAGCCCAAAAGGCTGACCCTTTCCAGTCCCCTTCCATGGAAATTCACCCACAGGCTCTCACTGGGGTTTGGAGCAGAAGGAAGAGGAAGGGCATGCTACGCCGTGTACGGCAATCACAACGCTTAAAAGAAGATGGAAGAAATCTCCTTAAAAGTACACAAGTGCATCTGTTAATTTGCCAGATTATCTTTACGGAGCTGGCAGTTCACGCGGTCCTCCACCTTGTTCTTGAATTTCCACAGAGCAAAGACTAATTTTGCACCAGGAGGTGAATAATACGGCCACCTGCTGATGTATCCCCAATCTGTAACTGTGAAATCTCCTGGAGATTAAAAAACAAACAAACAAACAAACAAACAAAAAAACCAGACAGAGGGAAAGAAAAACTCCCACTGGGAGTGTTGCCAGCCCGGCTTTTTAAGAGCTGCACAGTCCCATAACATCCATAGGGAAACACCCAGCACCGGCAGATCTCGGGCAGCACCAGCAGGCTCTGGGTCCAGTTGGGCAGGGGCCAAGGGGGCTCAGCCGTGCGCACGTACGCCCTGCTAACACTAAGGCGCTTCCCGAAAGCTCTGCCACGAGCCATCCAAGAAAGAAAGCAGCAGAAAGATGACGAGGCCACCCGAGTACCCCTGCCTGCAATGGAGAGCTGATGGACTCCCAGTGTGAGAAAGCACCGTTGCCAGCAGGTTTGGATGGGAGGGGAGGAAAGCTGGCAGCACGCTGCTGCGGCGCTTAGCGGCACCGCGATCCCCTTTGATCCTCAGATGGAAGGGTGCTACAGAAGTCCCAACCACAGCTCACACAAAGCAGCCTCCAAAGAGAGGAGAACCAGATGATGGCTAAGGAGTCACACCAACGGGCCAGGAGAGACCTCATCCACAGCACTGCACTGCGAGTCCTGTGGGGCGACAGAGCCCGAGAATGAGAAACGCACGCTGAGGCAGGTACAGGAGAGATGGTGAGGTTTCCTCAGAGGACCTGAGGACTTGCTCAGCCAGCCAGGGGATGGATGGCTATGGGATATGAGTGTATACTGTCAACAGTAAGGACAGGTAAGCACCGAAGAGGGAGACGACCAAGGTAGATACTGGCATAATATCAAGGTATCAACACCCAATGGATGTATTTAGGTTGGAAACCAACAAACATTCTTCTAGGAGAAAAGGGAACAGAAGCTCCAGCTGATTTTAGGACACCGCTTAGTACCCTTAGGAAAGGCTTTAAATGATGCTCTTAGATACTTTCTTACCGGTCCTACATCTCTAGGTGAGTGTGTTGCCCTGCACACACTTGCATCATTACCAATCTTCTTAAAGGATGAAGTCATGATGAGGTAAGATAATAAACTTGAAATGCACATTGAATTTTTATTAACCATAATTAGAATTATCATCAAGATGGGCTAAAGGTAAGATCATCTTCCGAAATTTAATTTGCAAGGTCATTTATTGAGGAAGTATTTTTAAATACAGTTCATTTAGCATTTGCTTAGCTCTTCATATCAGAGTGACACCAAACTTCGTAAGCAAGGCAAATTCAGAAGCAGCAGCTGTAAATCTCCGTGTCCTGCTGCCTCACAAATTTTTTTATTTAAAGAGCCTTCACAACTTTCAAATCAACCGCCGCCCTCCCCAGTTTGGGAATGGCCAGTACGACCTCTGTTCCCATTGCCGCTGTGCATTACCTGGAAGGACTCAAACCTGAGCATTCCCAGTACAGAAACCCCAACCCAGCTGATAGTGAACCTCTCCAGCATGTCCAGAGGAACCTCCCAAAATCATCCAACTCCTTTATTCTTGCAAGCCAAATCCTTCTGCGTTCCTATTCCTCACCCCGTGAAGAATGTGACTTCCCTTTTTTACGTTACAGAAAACAAGCACACGACACCCCCAGGCTAAGTGCTGCTGGAAATCCTTCTTCTTGCTCCGCGAGAGAACAGAACTCGGGTGCAACGCAGTCCCGTACGCCCAGGCCCCCCAGCCCACCCCACAGCCTGGCTCCTTGCAAAAGGGTCCCTCATCACCCATGTCGTGGCACCTGCGGCCAGCAATGGAGCATTAAAGAACTTAATTAAAGATCTTCACTTGGTAGGTCAGCAGAAAAGCTGATGCCTGTTTCAGAAACAGAAATATTCATTGGGAACTACGATATTCCGTAGCAAGGCAAGCACGGGTTTTAATCGCCCGCGGCGGCGGGAGCAGGCTGCGATGCTGCAGCAGCACAGCCGGGTGGGAGCAGCGGGGCCAGTGCTGCTCCGCTCTCCCCGCT